TGGGGGTTTACTTGAGTTCTGGAGTATGAGGGTCAATTTATAGCTGGGGATCAGCTGGTTCCATTCCAGTGACATGAAGAGAGATACTGCATCTTGTTAGGTGGGTAGAAGAGATCTAATGGGGACTGCAGGCTGGCAAGCTACTCGCAGAAGACCTTGACACAGCCTGGGTTGGGGCTAGACCTTGTTAGGCAGTTGCGAAGTGTCTGGGAAGCAAGTCATTGCAAACTTAGTCTCTCTGTATCAAATGCCAATTCTTTCTTAGTGAGCAACTACTGTGTGTAGCCTCATGGCCCTTTGCACTGGGGAGAAGTTTTATGATGTCAGTTCAAGCCTTTAGATATTTTATAAAGAGTCCAGACCCAATTCAGAAAGCTGCAATTTGTGAGCTTCTGGTTATACAAATGAGAATGTGCTTTGGCTCCATAAGTTCCTCACCATTTTAAGGGGGAAAAAAAGATGAACTCAATTAAACCTTAACTGAATGGTAAATGAGATAGTGATTCTATTATGTCATTCACAAGATAATGCAAAAGCAAGAATCTACAGGGCAATTAGGCTCCCGAGAGACTCTAATATTCCAATAAGTCACAGAAATAAATTCTGAGCAATTTAAAGAAGGCGAACTCTATTAATTGCAATGTTCACCTGCCTGTACAAAAATTGTTGCACATGAGTGTCTTCTTCCCTTTCTTCTATCAAGTAGTTCTTGAACTTCTTTGCAACTTTCCAGCCCCTCACATTTGCCTCTGGCTGATTTTAAATTATGCTAATTGAAAGAGGGAAAAATGCTGGTAACGGAATGAAATGGAACGCTGTTTCTTATAGCATCTGGTGCAATCTGAGCCATTTAAAAGTGTATCTTATGGAATAGAGATATGAATAAGCAATGCCAGTCTGATTACAAACACCATGGGTCTCATTAGAATACGTCAATCTGATTGCTAGGTAGTGATACATTGCAGATTAGTAGGCTATAATTGCCTCTTACATACTATGGGTATAATATATAGTTTCTCTGGGTGGATGTTGCAGCCACTTTCTCCCATGGCTATCTTTTCCAGCTCCACACAAAGCAATGTCTGTATTCTGCTAAGCTGATTTTAGCTGGGTTCCTGGGTCCTAATTTTATTTCCCTCCAAGTATTCATCAAGTTTTCTACATCAGTGTTGTAAACAGAGAATTATGTCCAGGGTGATTGCCAGAAATCAGATATGTCAGCGGTCTGCTACCCACTCAGCTGGGAGCAGCCAGTGGCTCTAGGCGTTTCCTCTGAAGGGAAAGGGTAAAATAACTGACCCTAAAGCCCACTACACTGCTACAAGTCTTAATGAGGTTGTTGACTTAAGTGTATGGTGCATTTTTTCTTTGTCAAAATCCATTTGGTTCTTTACGATGACTGGAAGAATTTAGACAGCCTAGCCCAGACCATGACTTTGGTGTACTCTGTAGCATTTGCAATCTCCAACTTGGGCTCTGAAATCAGGACATTTTTACAGTAGTGCAATCTCTGCAACCCTGGCCCCATACACCACATACTGGAACTGCAGTGACTAGACCCCGGAGGGAAAAGGGCAACTCTCCATTAGCTGCCCACTAGGTAAGTATTTGGTGTACAACCCAGGGCCTGCCGGAGACACAGGGGGCAGGGAAGTAGTAGGCTTGAGCTTTGCTTGCATTGACCCTGGACAGGCTGAGCTCTGTGCATCATGAGATGCATCTCTGTCTTTTCTAGGTTTTTCATATGCAATCCTCAAAATGTGTTTGCAAATAAATTCATCCCACAGAGGCGTTACAAGGGTTTCATTCTCAAATATAACATATAAAAGTTATATTCGAAAGTAACAAAATCAGTTTCCTTGCTACATAACTGCTCAGTCTTACATACGGCACTGTCCTTTAGGAATCTTCACTATTACTCCACTTGTCTGGCTCTAGAACCTTCTCCATCTCAGTCTTGTACCTACTGACTAACCCTGTCTTACCAACCTGATGTTTTACCTAAGTACTTACCTACTCCATTGTGCTGCATTTGGAAAACATCACTCATTCATATCATGCCCATGTTGACAGTTTTCTATAGAATTGATTACACTGATTTCCCAAAAGATCCTGACAATACAGAGAACAATTATTCCCATTTTAAAGATGAGTAAACTGAGCTTGAGAGGCTAGCTGATTTGCCCAAGATCACACGGGTGGGAAGGACCATATTACATCATGCTCAGTCTCTGCCTCAGTTCACTTTCTTCTTGTCTTAGGACCCATCTTGTGCTTCTGCTTGGCTAATGACTAGCCTGTGTTTGTCACAGTCCATCATCAAAGCAAAGAACAGCATTTGCGAAGTGTCATCTGTGGCTTTCACGCTTAGAACATAGAAATGATAATTAAAGAAAATCGCTACCTCTCCCTGGTTATGTATCAGCTGGCAGTTATCTCGGCTGTAATAGACTGCGCTCTGCTTTTAGTGAAAAGTAGAATGTAGAGATTAATTCCTACAAAACACCGCGTGGTAGATGAACATTGCACTGAAGTTATAATTTGTTCCATCAGAGTTTATCCAAAATAATCAACATGACAAACCAGTGAAAAAGAAGCCACCTGACAAGAAGGCAGGCAAGTCGAGTGTAGAGACTGCAGCGGCAATACACCGCTATGGGGGAGGCTCTGCAACCAAGCGGGATTGTACCCCCCCCCCCCCGACAAATTGTTTAATCTAATGAGGTGGAGGGATCTGGGCACAGCACACAGGTCAGGGTGGAGCAGAGCCAGGGGCAAGTTGTTGGATTCCAGCTGCTGATGTTTAAATCCCAAATTCCACCTGCTATTAGCTGAGTGACCTTGAATTATTTTCTAACTTCTCTATGCTCTAGGCTCTTCCTCTATAAAATGGGGAAAAATTATTCCTTTCTGTATGCTTTCTTAGACTATTGTAAGGACTTAAATGTGTTCCAAAATGTGAAATGAATTGAAAGCCTGTGAGCTCGAGCTCCAAGTTTTACAAAGCCTCAGAAGAGGACCTGTAGGTCTTGTCTATCTGCTGTAGATCCCAGGGCTGAGGGGCCTGATTTTGCATGTTAGTTGCATTTTTATTTTAAAGAGAAAAGAAAAATAACTCTTTGAATTTCTTGCCAGAGATTAGGATACATTCTCTATCTGTCTCCCTCCTTTTAGGGAGGCTGAATAACTAAAGCAATTTAAATGTTAAAAGCCAGGTACTTTTGTAGATAAACAAGGCTATGGCTAGAGGAAGGATAGAGATGACTTTGCAGAGCAGAAAATATCATCCCCATGCATCTGGATTCCAAGGAAGAGGAGCCAAGCGTTCTACACATGTAGCGCTGCTCATACTCCTCTGCAGCTTTGGGAAGTGCTCAGTGGAGTTCAGAGTCAAGGCAATAGTCTTTTGTGTGCATCTCAAATGACATTTCCCAGCCCCCTAGGCCTGGTGCTTGGCCGGAGAAGATCTGTCCTCTGATGACATAAGTAGGAGCAACATTCCCACGTAAGCCAAGCTAGACAGCTCTCAGCACTCCTGTCTACACCTCTTTCCTGTTCCACAGTGAGCTCTGGGCACCTACTGAGCATGGCAGCATCACAAGAGGGAAGGAATGTGGGTCTGCTAGCCACTACTTGGAAAAGTTTCCACGAGCATCCTCTGGACCTTCACCAGGCTGCGGCGTGAGCTATAGATAAATGCTCTGGCTTAGCCACTGAGAAGATGGAGTTACTTCATTGCAGACAGAAGCTAGCACTCATTTCCCCAAATAATACAACATTTCATATTGTTGTACTGAAAAATCAATCTCAAAATTATTGGTAAGATGACATGTGGCAATTTTGACACCATTCTAAGAGCTCTTTCCAGAAAATGGAGGGAAGAAAACTTAGAGACTTTCTGTCTTGCTAAATAATGAGAAAATTTCCAGCCTACTCTCTCACAAAACCGAAATATGCTGCTGGCTACCTATTAGCGGATTCTAGCTCCACATTATAAAGACAGAAGAACCCAACATGACCCAGATTTCGAAATTCTTTTCATTTCATTATCCATGTTTAAATGTTGCTGGTAATATGAAAGGGCAAGCCTGTAAGAGTTAGGGCCTTGGTTAGCGTGCCTTAAGTCTTGAGCCTGATTTTTGATTGATAAGAACCTGGCCAATCAGTCATTTATCTAATGGTAGAGTATCACGAGGACAGTACTCACCCTTAAGATCATACTTTTAAATAATTATAATTTGTGGACATATTTATGAAACACTTCCATCAAATGCTTATATGAGTGTCAGCATTAGCATTTGTAGTTTTAAGGAATCTTTTGAACCCCTTGGAACACCAGTGAATGCCCAAGCATCCATACATCCCAGGTTAAAAGTCCCTGGTAAGAATGGGACCTGACCTTCTGGGTCAGTAACAAAGATATAGGAAATGATACAGAAAGAGAGATGCTAGAGAGATTTATACCATCAAAAAGGCTACTAGGAGTAGCTACCAGTTGTTGAGGTCTGGTCAGATGCTAGATACTGCATTAAACCATTTACTATATTTAATCTTCATAAAAGCTTTTGGTGTGTAATTGTCGTGGTACAAACAAGGAAATGAATAGAGAAAAAGTGGAAAACCTGCCCTGAACTGCACAATTAGCAAGTGGCAGAGCCTGACTTTCAACCCAAGTCCATAATCATAATTACAGTGGAATACAGGACCTGAAAACCAGATTTTCTAATGCATTATTCTCAAGGGTGAAGTGTCAGAAGTCAATGCTTGTTTTACACACTGTATACATGTATTATATCATACTGTACCTCACCAACAATACAATGAAAATAAATAAAAAATAAATCAACGCTTTTTTATCCACCATAAATATGCTCCATTACCATGTAAGATCTTGCCTTGATTAAATTATAACCAATATTTCATTTAATGAAAGCATACGTAGCAAAAATTATTGAAAACACATAACCAGATTTCAGGTTTGTATACAGCAACTACTTTATTATTTTCAAATGCAAACTCTTTGCATTTGGTTTGCTATTTTACAATTTTACAAACTAGGTATAAAAGACCATAAATAAATGACATAAGTTATGTGTACCTAAAGTTCATGAAGGAAAGAAAAATACCTTGACAAATTCAAACAAAATAGAAAAATCTATGTCTAACTCAAAAGATTGCTCAAATTCTGGAACATGTATGAACCAAGCAATGTTCTGTTAATTTCTTTTTCAGTATGATCTAAATTATAATATGCCTTATACATTCTAATTTTAAACACAGTCCTTGCATATTCCAACATACTTGGAGTGATACAAAAAATAAATGCGCTCTTCAGTGTGTATCAATGCTTGATGTTGTTTGGACAATGCTAAGGAAGTGAAAATATTGCTTCTAGAACTTTCCTTTATTGGTCAGGAGTGTCTTTAGACAAATACTGAGGCTATACAAGTGTTTGGATTAATACACATATCCTTCACAGATTGGATACTGAGTCTCAGAACACACACGCTAGCAGTGTCGTGAGAACAACCTCTCTTGAAAGTAACTTTTTAAACACACCAGAACATTTCATTTAGAAGATTGCTAAAAATAAGTTGGAGCCTGCAGACACATGGTGAAGCTACTTGATTTGGTGCTAGGGAACAGCTTCCTGCTGCTTAATAGAAGATCTGAGCATGATGTGAGCATCCAAGCTCACTAAGTCAGCGCTTGCTCCCCGGCAAGACACAGACTAGGAAGTTGGCCTCTTACCCTTTCCTCTGGGGAAGATGACATGCTCAGAGATTCAATCTCATTTTTATACAGAGTTTTCAGGCATCAACGCATAGGCACATCCCTTTAAAAATATATTAAGGTCCCCCAAAAGGGGTGAATTAACTTTGTCACTCTGGCATAGCTATAAGAATACAATGCCACACACCCTGTCAGAATGCAATAAATATTTATTGATGATTTTTCTCTACTTATTCAATAACGTTAATATGGTTCAGAATCTTTTTCCTCCATTTTTCCCTGATTTGATGTTATAGCTTATACAAACGGCCACAGTTCCTGCAACCACAGCTTAGAGGGAGCAAGGCAGCCACTCAGACTATGGAAAACGGCAGTAAGTTGGCTGGAGTTTGGTATCATCGCATCGGTACTGGATCTGCACACACCAGAACTCAGACTCTAGAAAACTGATATACCTTGAGGGCAAGAGGAGTGAGCTGCATATTCATGACTAGAGCATTTTCCATGTAATTTGGGAACCTGAAATTGCTTGAGACTGTTCCATCCCAACTGCATTAATCTCAAGAGTCACTGGCATGTATTTTTCTGTGACGCTGGGAGACAAAGTATTCATCCGGACACATCATCTCAAGGCCGACACACATTTCCACGTTCATTTCCAAAAGTATAGGAATTGCATATATTTGTTCGCATTCAACAAGTTCCATTTATGCAGGGAAACAAAGGCTACTTGTACTCCCCTTGTGGTTACCAGATGGATTCCATCCCCCTTCCTCTCTCCAAGAGGGAATTGGTGAGCTGGGTGGATGCAATCAGAATTTCTGATCCTGATGAAGGGCTGTCACCTGAATGGGTGTATATTCTAAGCATATTCCACCATTAAGATGAAAACGCCTCTGTCCGAAGCTGCAGAATTAACTCTTTAAGGTGAGAGTGACAGCTACAAAAAACACACTTATAGATATAGGACATTTGACATCTCCAAGTCCTTTCCAAGGGGACAGGCATGGTCTCCAAGCCCACCGTATCATAGGGTTCTCATCTTGAACTGGCACGAAACCAGGACTTTTTCGCTGTAGCATTCCACAACATTCACAGGCAGTCTGAAGCATGAGGTTACACGCGTACACACACCTACGCACACACACGCACACACACTCACACCTATGTACACACATCAAAAGAGATATACACACATCAGCTCATATTTAGTCTAGGAAAAAATATATTTATATCACTGCAATGGCACACCCTGGGTAAAATGTTACTTCAGCAATGCATATCGTAGGCAGCTCATGAGAACTGGCTTTGTTCTGTGTGGTGGCACCTGAACTGGTGTCCATAGGAAAACCTGTTGCCTCTGGTCACTTGCTGCCACACCAATGCAGCAGTGACATACAGGGATGAAACATGGAAATACATATAAATAAAACCACGAGGAATTTGGGAGCAAGGGCTCTGCAGAGCTGGTGCCGGGAGACAGTGCATTCCTCCGTGCAACTGGAGAGCAGGTGCTGAGCTTTAGTTCTGTGGGTTTCCCTGGGAAGTGGGGTTCTACAAGCACGCCGTCTCTCCTTTTCAGGTACAGGTGCCACTTCATCTGTGTCTCTGCCCCAGCTGGTGTGTCACAGAAGCAGAAGAAACACACTTGGAAGGAACTGAGGAGGGTGTGTTCTGTTTTCCTCCAAGGGCTTTGTAGTCGACAGGAAGGCTGTGAGGCTGAGATAGCAGAATTTACTCCCTGCAGAGAAAAGAGCAAGACTTTAGATACAACACTCGCCAATATTAACAGCTCATGAGCCACTGATACCGAGACAAAGAATGCAGATTCGTAGATGGCAATAGGGCTCCATAAATGTGTAGGAGAGAGATCAAGAGTTATTACTTTCTTCTTCTGAAAAAGTAATAAGCTACTAACGAGCACCCATAATGATTGGATATTACAAACTGAGAAATGAAAAGCAATAGATGTTTTCCTTGAAAATAAGGAGCAGGATATCTAACTAGTAAGAGATCCATTTGACGTGCAGGTAACCATAGAAGACAAGGAGGCCAGAGCCAGGGACACAGTAACTATGATGCCTGTGTTGGAGGCCTAGGGGCTCTGGGCTCCTTGAGAGCATCAAGAACCCCCCCACACACACACACACCCTGAGCACACCCTAGAAGTCTAGACATCAGCCTTGAGCAGAGAAGCCTGACCCAAAGCATCATCACAGCTCCTCCTGGTCCTCTCCACATGCCAAATGATCAATTCAAACTGAAAAAGGAATCTTTCCCTGCATTTGTGACAAATGATCATCAGGACTGCTCCTTGGACCATGCTGCCTGCCACAGAGGCGGTGCTTCATCGTTAATGGCCTCAAATATAGTGCAGAGATTAAGATTAAAATGTACTTCTACTGGCGATTGTGCTAATTTTGTTCAATTTGGCGTGTGTGCACATTTATTGTGTGGGAAGGAATAAAAAAGATAGTTTCGCTGAGTTAAATGACCACTATTAAACACGTACATGATATGTAGTCTATTTGGAGACAGAAATAAAGTATTCCCACAAATGATTCATATAGAAATCAGTTTTTATAATTGAAAATTATAAATGCAGGTCAGGGTATGCTGTATCAATATCTTCAGAAAGCTCTTTCTTTGCAGTATAGTTTTATCTATAAATTTATGTGAAGAAAAAAATAGAACATGAACTTCTCCTTAAAACTCTGTAATATATTGCAGCATATGGGCAGCAACCATATATATATAAACAATTGAATCTATGTCCTTTGCACTGAGCTGCAGTCCCAGCCAGCCCTTTGTATTATTTCTTCATTTGAAACAAGGACCCAGTTTGAGCTTGGGATCTTCCTGCCTCAGCTTCCCAGAGTCTGTGATTACAGGCATACCCAGCAGGCAAACTGTAAGTTTCTTTTGCTACTAGGAATCCCACTGTTAGAGAAAGAGTGGTCTCAAACCTCTTGTCCCTTGTCAGCGTGCAGACCCCCTTCTTTACCTCATGCCTACTGTCTACTCTATTTTCATTATTAAGTGAGGATTTGTGGAGTTGAGATTTTTCTGGAAATGAGTGCAGATCTGAAGCTAGAAGAGTGGAAATGTAAAGGTCTATATCTAGGCCTGGGGAGATGGCTCAGTGGAATAAGTGCTTCCCTGGCAAGAGCAAGGACATGAGTTCAATTCCCAGTTGTGGGGAGGGGGAAGGTCTAAATCTAGCTGGTGCTAAAAATAAGAGTTGAGAAAAACGAGCCTCTGTCCTTTGAATTCAAACAACTCCCTTTTCATTGGGAATTTCTTGAACAAAGCCCAGACAAAGCATGTGGTGCAAAAGGGGCGTCAAGAGCTGTTGAAAGGAATTCATTGTGATTAAATAAACATAGTGCTGCTCCCTTATCAGCCATAAAGATACCAAAATATCTCTATCACCCACTTCCTTTCACTGCAAGGAAGTTGTACTTGTACATTTTACAGACTTTCCATTTACAATAGAACAATTTTATAAACTTCTAGGGTAAACAATGCATGTTAACTTTAGGAATGATTTGATAGGGCTACCACGTTGGTACAGATACACAGTTAGTCCCGGCTGCCCAGAAATCCACATAAGCTAAGAACCTTCTGCTGCAGGACGCCCTCCTACTGAAGTACATTTCATTCCACTCTGGCATGCGCCGCCCAGCATCCAGGCTCACGAATGAAATGACAGCAGACGGAAGAGCTACACTCAACTACTGGAGGAAAACTGCCCCCTCTCCCAGAAAGCTCTCTGTGCTGTTCACGAGAGTATTTCCTACACGCATACAACCCCATCCTGCATCAGGAAACATATTACTACTAAGGCATCCTTCACTCTGTAACTTACAGGGGAGGGACTAAGTTATAAAGAACAGTGGGGTGGGTTTCCCAGTGTCAGCATTGCAGATGGCTTTAAAAGCCATAGCTTTCTTAGAGTCTGGATCCACGCCCTGAAAGCAGCAGGCCCTTCCTCATGTTCTTGCATCTTTCCTACACTGCAGGGAGGCAGTGACAGTAGTGAATACTTTCACTGCTGCCAGTTATCATTTTAGATACTTGGAAAGAGTTTTGTCTTGTTTCAGCCCTTCCAATGGCTGTGACTCTCACATGTTCAGGGGTTAAAATTAAGTTTCACATTGCAACTCTCAACTGACGTGAGATTTCATATTCTACCTCTCTTTTTAGTCTTTACTTGACTATTGCATTTACAAAGACGCATGCTAAATAGCAACAAAACTACTCCAACATAGCAGATAAGGTTAAATTGCTGGAGTATTTTAGAATCAGCACATCCTTGCTTTAAAAAAGTTCTGCTTTAAAAAAATATATAAGAATGCAAGACTTTTCACTATTTAATCTCTGTAAGGGCAAGGTAGCAGTATATTTTAAGAGTTCCATGCCCTACTGACTGAGCTAGCCAGGCACTCAGTAGCAGTATATTTTAAAGTACAATTCTATACTATTTTCCTTTTAGAATCAGAAAGATTATTTATTAAAATATTCTAAACATTTGTTGAAAAATATCAGTTTCTAAAGGTAAGCAAAAGGGGCCAGGGAGAAGGCTCAGTGAAATAAGCGCTTCCTGGCAAGTGCAAAGGCCTAAGTTCAATCCCCCGTTCCACCAAAAAAAAAAAAGAGCATGAAAGAAAAACAAACAAACAAACAACAACAACAAAACCCAAAACCCAAAAAGCCCAACCTATACTTGTCAACTTTCAACAGGAATTTGTAAAACTCATAGACTTTAGCAAAAGTGGTGATAAAACAAAAATTGTTGGAGCACTTTTAAAAACAAATTTTACATTCCTTCTGAACAGAAAGGCTTTTACAACTTTTGTTGCAAAAAAAACGGTTTCTACTAAACTGTCATGACTTGACAACATCAAATTTAACATCCTTTGCTCTATAAGAAATAGCTTTCAGGGTAACACTGAGAGGGAAATAAAAGGTCATTAAATCAGCCAAGTTGTTGTTTAAAAGTGATAAAAAATGGAATTTTTTTTTAAGTTAAAATTCTCCCAGTGCAAAGTTAGGTCCCTTGCTTCTAGGAATGAACAAAGCCACATGTTTTAAGAAGAAAATCATAAAATGGAATCGTTTAAAGCAGTTAATGAACTTATAGATAAGAGATGCATTCTTTACTGTCTGATAAGAAGGAAGTCATGGTGAATGTCACATCTCCTGCTGACATCTTGGTAAATCCTTCTTAGCTGATTCTCTCTGGGGAAATAATTTCCAGAATAGGACAAAAGTGAGGACAGTGGAAGAGATATCCTAGTACTTCTTCAATGGTGCAAACTCTCAGAAGAAAGGAGTGTGCAATTTAATAGTCAGAAAGGTCCATGATGTCACTGACAGGTAGGTACCCAGGTGATAGCACTGAGTGGTAACAAGGGCAACAGGAACTCTGCAAGACACAGCACAGCCAGAGGAAGCACCCTTCTGAACTTGACCTTACCTTGTGTACTTCACTTCTTCTAGAATAACATCAGGAGTGCCATACTGTATTTGATGTCCTTTTCTATTACCAGTCAAGGCCTGAACTTGTGGGGGGAGAAAGAACCCCAACATGACCTGGTGGAACCTGAAGCAATACTTGCTATTCTGTGTTTCAAATAAGATCAAGTTCATATATGTCCGTACACATACACACACACACACACACACACACACGCACGCATGAGAGAGAATTTTTACTACAATAAAATTCATTGTTGAGTCCTTCAACTTACCTTATAGACTTGGAGCTGCGTCTTTAAAAGGAGGGCAGTATGAAAGTTTCCTATTCCAGATTGTCACAGCCCACTGTCCAGAAGGTAGTTATGACAAGTTTGTAGGGTCCACAAATAAGACTTCATATGGCACAGCCTCAGGCCTGAAGAAACAGACTTCCCTTTCCCAGGTGGGGGTTGTGGGGTTTGGGTTCTACATTATTCTCCATCCTCTTTCCTTTGCTTTCCAGCCCCACAACGTTGGTAGAATCCATTAGGTGACTGGGGCTCAAAGAAGCAACACGCAGGGGCCACATGGTTATTTCCCCCCACTATCTTTGCTTCCTTGTTATGAACCAGGCCCTGAAGGCAACAGCGGAGCCCTTCACAACTGTTCCTGGGCACGGTCTTCACTGCAGTGAAGGGAGATGACTGTAATCTATGCCACAAACAAAACACTAGGGTTGTAATTCCAAATCGAGGACGGATCAGAGGTCCTCTGAGAAGCTCAGTGTCCGGCAGCAAATACAGCATCAAAATTCAGAGGCAGAGTTTTATTTATATAGATACATGTATTTTACAGACTGCAATGGACATAGGTACTTCTGAGAAACCATTTGTTCCGGGTCTCATCCCAATGACCAGCTGTCGCTTCTGGAAAGCCCCATGGTCCCGGCGATCCGGACACCAAGCAATGCTGCAGATACTTTTTCCTTTAATTTCAGAGGGCGAAGACGAAGTAAAAAAAGTGCAGTTCTTCAATTAAAGTGCATGGATGAGGTAAACTAATTTCAAGAGTTCTGAGTTTATTCAGTACTGGCTCAGACAGGAACCATCCTGCCGTGCATCTGCTGCACCTGGGTTCGCATTGCCTGGACGCTGCTCAAAATCTTATTCTGGTGCGTGATGGCCGTGATACCGATTCTGGCCAGGTCACTGTATGGGGAGGAGCAAAAAGAGACAAGAGGTCACGAGGGCTGAGAACCGCTGTGGCCAGACTTCACGCCGACACACAGCTGAATCAGCCACATTCACACAGCGCAGCGAGGCGGGTGTGTACAGATGCTCAGTGAAGTAACTCAACGTGACAATGTAGGTGCTTTAGAGAGGATGGGTAAAGATGCACAAGATCAAATGAGAGGCATTCCAGTTTTGTGGGTTTTTGTAAATGAGTCAGTCAGATGATTATGTAGCTCAAAGCAAAAACATAAAGAAAAGAAAGAAACAGAGGAAAATACTATGAAATCTAGATTTACCCTTTCTTGCTACATCGCTGGGTACTTACTCCTGGTTCATGTGCACCACAGCCTCTAGCGTGGTATACCCGGCAGCTGTGAAGTTATCCTTGTACCGGTCCATTTTAATGGCCTGGAGCCAGTCACCTACTGAAACGACTGCCGAGAATTCCGGGGAGCTGGGGTCCAACAAGGCAGTGTTAGGTCTAGAAGTGAAACAAGAAGCTGTAAGCAGCCAGAAGCTACCGGCGTTGCAGGAAGACTTGGAAGCCCGACTGTCTGGAGTAGGCAATAGCAACTGAGAGCCAGGAGAACACTGGGGGTGAAACATCCATCGCAGACATAACAGTGTGTCTTTTACCCTTAGTTTAACGAAGTTGTGAAGGCAGCTAAGAATCGCTCTTACTGTGCTTTATTCCTTTTCTTGAACTTGTTTTATGTGGGCTTCTTAGGGTACTAGTGCTCGTAGCAGATCTTTTCACATCCTAGTTTGGGGTAAAGAGTGGGGGATCCCTGATGACTGAAACCTGCGCCCTCTGTGCAGAAAGCGTTCAGCCCCTGCTAGGACTGAATGTTACAGATGTTACTCTGGCAGTTTTGGAAACCGTACTGAAGCATGTGTAAGGAAAACTGCGGGCTTGCGACCTGCTAGACTTAAAGGAAGCAGAGAAAGCACTGACAGTTCAAGTCCAGCACAGTGTCAGCCAGGACTGCAAGCAGGGGCAGAGCATCCAGACCAGCCCAGAACTGCAGGGAGTCAAGCCCGCCTTTAATCAGCCCATGCCTGACCAGCGCGTGTGCCAAGACCGCTGCAAGAATGGCCACTTGGATCACTGTTTGGATTGTGGAATGTGCGACTTGTATTCCTTTGCTGGGGCACCTAAATAAGGATTTCGACAAATCCAAAGAACTTTTTATTAAGTTATTTATTAGTCTACACATTTCTTGGGCCAGGTGCTTTGTATTAGGTCACTGTCAAGAATGACTACAGACAGGAATTCTGCCATGAATTATCAGATTGATAAATAGTAAGTCACCTATTTTAAAGAAGGTATTTATAATAAAAACTATAGTCATCTCCATCATCAACCTACTAAATAATCATAGGAGAGATTTTTCAGAGTCATTTTATGCCCCTTTTGCTCTGATTACCTATTCAGCAATACTGTTATGTTGTCAAAAGCCCTTTGTTATAGCAACACAATTAGCTTAATAGCAAGCCTTGTCTACAAAACAGAATTATTCTGACTCGATTTATAGTTTTCTATTTTTACCTAAATTTTTGGATTTGTACTATTTCTTCTTCTCATAAATATTGTGATTAAGATTTGTTCAATCAGCTTTATGTCCAAAAAAATAGCTTGACTCTGCGACCTTTCTTGTAAACCCTTTATTTCAAGTAAGTTTACTATTCTGAGTAAAATTCTGCAGATGTTTACAGTAAGAATAATCAAGATTTAATTTGTCTCTTTGGCTTGAGTTAACAATTAACACACAGAGTTTGAGATATTTCACGGAGTGCTGGATGTAGAGCAATAGCATTTGTAATAAGCAGAGACTTACTGGTTTGCGTTTACTTCTAACTTAAGAAAAGCCCACTAACAAGGCAAGACATAGGACCTAAGTGCCTCAGAAGGTCAAAATGACCTCCAGAAGAAAATATCTCCATTCGTTGTCAGTTAACTCCAAGGAACAGTCTCAAGTTTGCTCTGGAAGTCTTCTAGTCCTTCCAGAACACCAAGACATTTGCCTAACTTTTTTCTGACACATATAACATGTTATGCGACATCCAATTTTCAGAAATGGTAATAAGCATTGTACTATCAGTGAGACAAGTTTAGAAGTAAGGAAAATACATCCAATAATTCGATTTACTCTGTACTTTGGTGCAAAGCAAGTACTGCATACATTAGTAGGTGAAGATCTTATGTGCCTTCCCACATATACGAGAAGCAGTAAACACCAAGAAATGGGCCTTGGAATCCTCAGACATGAACTCTGGAACTGCAGCCCTAAGAAGCAGAGGAGGCTGACCTGATCCTAAATGTATTCCTTCTCTCCACGACTGTGAAGCCAAGTTTGTAGGAGAAACACTGAAGGAAAATACAGAAGGCTTGCAAAGACAGATAGGACTTAAATATTCTGGAAGAACAAAATATCCTTCAGTTTTTAACTCAGATCATGAAGAAAAGCAGTAGGATTTGAGAAGCTCAGATTTAGAAATGAAGTGACGCTTCACTTCTCACAGACCAGTTTCTTGGTCTTAGTGCTCTTGGCTTCTTGCATAATTCAGGAAAGAAAATTAGGTAAGGATGGTGTATATCCTTTCAGACGGCACTGGCATGTAGGCATCCTGAACATGCCAGGAGCAAAGCTGATTCCACATGGAGAAAAACTCCTAGTGAATTGTGGCATGGGTAATATCCTTGTGTTCTTTAGTGACTGACCTCATGTCACTCTTCCAAGAGAACTAACCACCTCTTTCACAGGCAGTCCAATCCTACTGTTTTAAAATCCCTTTTCAAAAAATTCATTGCCTGTTGTTGGTAACTTGATCTGTTTCTACACTAATTCTGTGTTCTTCTAAGACTTAGAAAGGGGAAATTTGACTGAAACCTAATGAATCCCTTGCTGAAATTCTCACTTGGTAAATCAACTTAGAAACGCAGTGCTGAAAGACCTACTCTTCCATCTTTACTATTATTTCCTTTGTCTTTTCAAAAAGTGGCATCTACTGCCTTGACTGTCTTCCAAGAGTGTATTTCAGCCCCTTCCTAAGTTTTCAGGGCCAGCATCATAAGCAAGCACTTTAGTTCTTTCTTTCTTTTTCCCTTTATTTTTCTTCCTATCATGAGGCTTGACAGACATGGGGCTCTTCAAAATGATGGATTTAACAACTGTAAATACTCAACTAATTGAGAAAGAAATCATCCTGGGTTGCACAGCTCTATAAAGTGGCCTTTGATGAAAAGGAAAATGAGTCACCACTCGCCTGCCACCTCTGATGCGTGCTTTCATACGTCATTATTAAGTAAACATGGCAAACCTGGAGCTCTCTGTCCCTGTCCTCTTCAAGCTGTTGGGGTTGCGGATGAGTTTGTCCAACATGTTGACAATCTGCCCAAATTTCGGCCTATCACTTCTCTCCTTCTGCCAGCAGTCCAGCATCAGCTGGTGGAGTGCAATGGGACAGTCCATGGGCGGGGGTAGCCGATAGCCCTCCTCGATGGCTTTAATCACCTATGGAGAGAACAGGATGACATGGTAGGCTGCCAGGCAGTCTACTGTGTGAGGTTCACCCTCCAGACAGGCATGCATCTCCTACATGAAGCTGCCAGCAAGCTGGAGCTTGGGCATAGCTCCAAATCCTTCACTGAAGCCAACCCTGGACCTGAGCATTGTTGGTGGCAGGAACAAGAAGCCAGTTGTTGCTATAAGGTGTTCGCAAATGGTAAGTGATGCCAATCTGGAACTCTAAAGGGAAGATAGATGCTTCCCCATTCCGTAGCTGTTAGAACCTAATTAGATCAACAGCATAGCGTCAGAGTATTATTCATGCCCACAGAGATCACACAGTCCTGCCCCAATCCCTATGCACTCTGCAACTCAGCATCAGCACACCTACATATTCCCAGCAAGAGAGTCTCTAACCGAGTTCCAGGGAGCCCTTCAGGAGCCTTTAGCAGAACAGTAATTCCCTTGGCATAATTTTAAGCCACCTCTGCTCAGACAGCTAACATTGGTCAATACTATAGCCTCTGGTCAGATGCCTAGCCATTTTTCCTTTAGGAAGATTATAGCCTTAGACATCAATTTTGTTTCTCTTTCTTGATTAAAAGATTAACAGGGAAATAGCTGTTTTTTTTTTTAATTTAAATTTTAAAGGCAGCATTCACATATCTAAGGAAAGAAGTTACAATGATATACAATGATAGCAACAAATGTTTTACTGTCCAAGATCACCTGAGTGGCTTCCTTGTTAAATAAGATATACATCATTCAGCAGTCTCTTGCCAACACTAACTTTTCTAAGTTGCCACTGAACTATTTTCTTATTGGCTTTTTTCTAAGTGCCTCCCCTTTGGCGTGTGCATTCAGCAAGGTAATACGGTGTGACTCATGCCACATTTAAAGAGGGGACTTACTTCATAGTTTCTTGGCCACACATAGGCTTTGTTCATGAGTAACACAGATTCTGGAAACTTTTATTTGTTTGAGAGTTTGAAGTTTTATTTGTCTCTAATCAGCACTTTTGTTTCACTTTATTTTGTTTTCCTACCAGAATAATTGCTGCCTGAGAAACAGTGACTACAGAAATGCTGGTGACCCCATTCAACCCGCTTCAACTGAAGTGAACTTAGTTGGATTCCCTGTCTGTCTGCTAATTTGACTGCTGCCCTCTTAACCAGCAAACTGTTTCCCTTTCACAATCATCCTTTGATTGATTAACCCCTTTGATCCTTACTTCTCCCATGTACATTGTGACATCTCATTCTATCTTCTACTTGTCCGAGGTAGACTTGTCTATGCTATTTCATTTTATTCCAGTTCTTTGTGGCAATTACAGCAGGTCAATTTGAACCTTTGGCTTTTTTCTTCCAAGGTACATGGTATTGACTCCAGACTTGATGAAAACATTTTACATTGAATTGACAAGAATGTCAGCAACACTGGGCTGCTGGTAGGGTAACTCAATTTGTTATAACCTCCCAGACCACTGCATACACTCTCAGAAGCTGTCTATTAGCTACCAGCTTAGAAGACAGCTCGTGGGCTAACAAGGTAAATTTTCTCAATTTACTGCCAAATATTACAAAGGGGCAAAGGATTCAAACAAACAAAAGATTTTGGGCAAATTTTTGGCAGTTACTTGCATGCAATGGATTCTACCCAGGAAGATCCTTCGCCAGATCCGTTGCCTACTGATTCCTTTTTTTAAAATACAGAACTGATCACAAAGAGACCAATACATGCAAATGACAGAGTAACATGACTGGTGAGCAACAATGGCTTCAGATGACTTTCTTCATGGATACAGCCAGAAACAGAAATATATAAAATAGTCCATTGTTTCAACATAATATAGAAACTATCAAAGTTACAGATGTGAAAATATTTAGAGCCCTAATACTGACATCTTTATATATGGTACATTTGGGATTATTTAATTATTTCTCTCAACTGAAATGAAGGAAAGTTAAGTATCAAATAATTCTATCAGTATATTCATGATTTGCTCATTTAGGTCTTTTTTGTCTTCTTCCTTCTGAGGATCTGTAACCTGCATCCCTACATAGAAAGAAGAAGTTACTTGATTGTACTACACAGTACAATCACATCAAAAAAAGATTACACACCACCTGCTTCTGTGGGCTTCTTCCAGCTTGTGTTTATCTGTCATTTAGGCTGGCTGTGCCATCTTTCTCCCATCCTCTATGGCTCTTCTTTTATGGATTACAGAGAATAACAATATCAGTACCACCTGTTGAAGCTTCACAGTAGAGACTTCTTTTTGTCCCACTGGTGATGGGGTGCCTACGTCTCTCCAGAGCTCTGAACGTTCTGTTCAAGTGCACTTGGGTCTTTGTGTGAGTACCAAGGCCCTGCCACTGCCTGCTCCTTGGGAGCATGACAGCACTGTGCACCAGACAGCTGTAGAAAGAAACTTTTCTAAAATATAATCTTAATCGATAAGCTGAAGACCCTGCACTTGTCGACATCTTCAGTGATTATTCTCCTTGTACATTAAAAAAAAACAAGAAAGAGTAATTCAAACATATAGTTGGTCATTTTCTTTCGATGGGAATTTCTAAGCCCTGCATACCTCACTAAAAGTTCTCCACAATGAGCTCCAGTGTGTTCTAGGAAGACCTCTGATCGAGGGCTCTTTGTTTTGATTTTTGCTTTCTTACTGGAGATGTTTGTAATTAAATTCTATTACTCTGGAATCTTATTAGTGTCATTATTGAATGCTCTTCTGAAATTGTAGGCATGGTGGATACTCCCTCATGAACTAGTCCAGATGGTACGTTTAAAGGGATGTGCATAATTTACAAAGGGTCATTTAGTGAGGCTTCACTGGAGAGTCCTCCAGGGGCAAGCTCTAATTACAACTGTGCCAGCTTTAAAATATTCACTAATTTTCTGTCGATAAACCTTTTGTGTCAATTTTACCACATGTGGATTTTGCTTTTTTGGTAATCTTTGCTACATTTTGTTAAAATTCAAACATAAGATTTGCTCTGGTCCGGTCCAGAGAAAGTTCACTAAATCGAAATATTATGCCACGCTGTTTGTGATCAATAACTGTTTGTCTATCTCTCTCTTTCCCACACTATACCATAGAAGATGTGTAACTCTAATCTTTGTAATCAAGTCATTTTTGGTCATAATTAGAAACAGACCACTATATATCAAGAACCTTCAATTTATATTCTTTCAACTCCAATGCTCAGTTCATCACACAGTGGAGCAGAACTTCCTCAATCGCAATGAAAAGCCATATATTTCAGAACACTGAGACTCACGTCTTGATTGGACATATCCCAGTAGGGTCTCTCTCCGTACGACATCACTTCCCACATAACGATTCCATAGCTCCATACATCACTTGCGGATGTGAATTTACGATAGGCAATTGCTTCTGGCGCAGTCCACCGGATAGGAATCTTGCCACCCTGTGAGCATTTAAGCCATAAGTTATTCCCTAAGTACATTACTGATGTGCTGTTTTCATTTCTGAATGTAGTCACTACTTGCCAAGCAGGACAGCAGTATTCTTGAGATCACTCTCCCAACAATAATGAGAGATCTGTTTATTTTAAGTAAAGTCTTCCAGCTTGAGACAGTTCTCCTCATGTTTTTTTAGTCACAGGGAAGTGACCAAGTAATCTATCTTAATTGCTTTTCTGCAAAGCCAACCTATTATCTGAGCTCTGCTTAGGGCCATGTTGTAGAAGAAAGGGGAAAAACCTGAGAGTTTTTCTAAGTACATGTGGTTACCAGAGTGTATCAAAGGATGTGGAGTTGACACTTGCTTTGACTTCTTAGTGCATTCTTTGCCCCAGCAGCAGAAAGCCAGTGTTACTACTGCTTCAGAAATAATGAATAAAGGAGAACAAATATGAAAATTTCTGCCTATCACATTGTCCTTCCTGTAGGATACAGCAAAAGAAATGCATTCAATATATCTAGAATACATTAATTGGCCCTTAAAGGAAGCCAGAGAATAGCTACAGGTAGTAGCTCTATTACTGACTTGAATAGAGGAAAGCAGTTTTACCTACTATTTAATTTTTAGAAACATGCACAATAATGGTAAAGCAACAATATATTACTAAGGAAAAGTTTAAGTTGCTGCTGCTTCTTTTTTCAACCTCCAATGTCTCTTGTATACGTATAAAGTGTTTTAAACTCAGTTTCAGATTTTCTAAGGTTCTACCTGAGGAAATCAACTCAACTTGAGCACAAACCCATGAGCTGTCCAAACAGCCATAGCTTACAGCTTTTCTTTAAGGCTACTAAACACAACAATGGACTCCCTGGGAACTGCTTTGATGTAGTCTTAAAATCCATTGTAGGATATTTGCAATGACTCTCTTCCTTAAATCTCTGGTTAAGGGTTTATCTATGTTAATGTATTATTTTAGAAGCCTCCTTTCCTCTCTCTCTCACTGCTGAGGGAAAGAAAAAGTACCTCTAGCCTCCACAAAGAGGTATTCTTTACTAAATCAATAGACTTAGAATTCAAGTAGGATATGCATGGGAATCAAAAATGGAGCCAAAGAAATTGAAGACTATCCAAAAATTTAAATAACCAACAAACTAACCTATCAAACAAATTTTAAAAAAACCTCCAGTGCTTGGAATTGCAGATACAAAATTGTGAGTAATTAAGTGGGAACTGTCTACCTCACGGATTTTCACCGTGTCAGCCTTAATAGCCAATAACTGTTTTATGATTCTGTGTTTATTCCATTAGTGTTTTATATTCAGATTGTCAGACTAAGACAGCAGTGCCATTAACTGTAATACTGAATGCTCTTAACTATGCCTGATTCCACGATTATCTACTAGTAGTAAAATGAAGGCCATTAGATACTGGAAGTCCTTGCAGAGTGTAAATGTTTTATAAATCCTGTATATACATTCTCAGATTATGTAGCCAAACAAGCAGAAATACTACTGCCTTGTTTAGAGTAAGAATTTTAAAAATACAAATAAAAAAAAGAGTCAAACAGAAAATCTCAGATAAGAAAAGGAAGAGAAAACAAAAAAGAAAGCAAAAGTATCAGTGTTTAGGTTGTTATTCTTGATTTTCCTAGCAACTGATCATGTTTTATCAATTACTTTTTATACTTCCTTCTAGTTTAGTTAAATTTTAAATACACCCTCTTATTACTCGTTAGACTACTTTGCTCAAGAAATTTCAGAGGAGAAAGAATTTAATTTGATTGTCGTTTGTAGCTCTGTAAAATGGTCACGCCATTCGTCTGCTTCAAAACTCCTCTTTGGCACCAGGGTTTAACAACGGACACAGAGACAGGAAGAGGTTTCAGAGGACGAGGAAGTAGAATAAAACAATGCACAAAGACCTGAACCTCAAGGGAGAAGGGACAGGGCTTGTTTGAGGAGAGAGAAGGCCCCGGCGGGGCGGGAAATGGCGCTCACCCTGGTGGTGTAAGCTGCTTCGGGGTCGTCCTCCAGCACCCGGGACATGCCAAAGTCAGACACTTTGCAGACCAGATTGCTATTCACCAAGATGTTGCGTGCCGCCAGGTCACGGTGCACATAGCTCATGTCCGAGAGGTACTTCATTCCGGACCCGATTCCACGAAGCATGCCCACTAGCTGAATGATTGTAAATCTACCATCATTCTTCTGAATAGGAAGAAAGCAAGGGAGAGAAATCCTATTAGGATTTGGCCAAATTAATTACCACCCTGCACTTAGGACTGAGTCTCTTTTTGATATCTGTATCCGGTATGCAATGAGACTTCACATTAGTTCCGGGCCGTGCTGACCAAAGTCACTAATTCACTCCCAGAACGCACTGGAGGAGCTGCCTTTGCTTCCTGTGACACGTGGAAATCAGCCAAGCGTAATGAATCCACGGCTCACACAGCTTCACGATACAAGGATAAATCAAATGCTTCTCCCATCACCTATGGATTATTTAATAGCCTTAAAAATCACATCATTTTCAATTTCTTCTCTTTTTTCCTTCGCTATGTTCAAAAGGTCCATGAGGACAAGAAAACCGGATAAGGAATTTTTTAAGAGTTTTGTAGCTATTTATATGCTTGTATTTAATATAAAATAAGACATACCCTGAGGAAGGCATCCAAAGAACCATTTTCCATGTACTCTGTTATGATCATTACTGGTTTACCTAGAGTTTTCGGAAAGAAAAACAAAAACCCTTGATAAGCGGTGCAGTTAATGAGATAAAAATGGGCTGTGCACAATTTTACTGCCAAGACACCTGTCTTGTGTGATCTAATTTAATTAAAGCGAGCCAAGCTTATGCCTCAGCTGTGGGGAGCTAGGGATGAAATATTAAAAGGACGAGTAGGTTTAAATTCCATCTGGAAGGTTAACCCTTTGGGTGGGCTCGTTGACAAGGTCTTTAACTAAAGTGGCCTCCGGTGTCCAGAGAGCACATGAATGGATAATTGCTCTCTCAAGCAAAAAGGGGAATGATAATGGGCAGCCCGGTCTAAATGTGAAAAAAATCTTTAGGATAATTAATTTATTTTGTCCCCAGAAGAGCCACTTGTGTGATACTAAAGAAGGCAATGGACAGAGGGAACCTTCGTTTTCTCTAACTTAGGGAAACCCCTGTTTCAAGAGACAGAAGCAGTGTTAGAAATCACATGTTTTGGACACATCTTAACACCCAACCATGCATAATATTTGCATCTTTTCTATTGCCTTGCTCTGGCCTTTAGTGTTTCACTTTCTTTACTCCCTCTATAAATAAACTTATTCCATTTCCTTCCTTAAACTACCCACTTGCAAAATGAAAACAAAACATTGGTTTAATATATCAAAAATACCCATTTTTATTGCTGTACATGCTAATTGTTTGGATTTAAACTATTCATTCAGGGAAAATGGCCTGCGACATTTCTTTGCTGAAAAGCATCCATTATTTTATATTTTATTTTACTTATTTATTTAAATTTTTTTCCCTCTTTTTTGGTGGAACTGGGGATTGAACTCAGGCCCTTGCGCTTGCCAGGCAAGTGCTTATTCCACTGAGCCATCTCCCCAGTCCCCATTATTTTTTAAAATGAGTATGTTTTCCATCAGAGATGAGTTGGTTAGTAACTTCTAGAATGGCGAAGAGGGAAAATATCTTCACATTACAGACAAAAATATTGAAGGGAATAAGTATTTAACTTCAGTGAAGTCCACGTTATTGGACTGCATTTGGGGTGGGAGGGTTGGAAATTGCTTAGAGGCAAACATTTTTAATTACAAGACAATACATGGAGAGTATATTTCAGTGATCAAATAAAGTTAATAGGAAACAAAGCATCTCAGTGCACATTCAAGGATGGATGAAGCTGTTCCAGTCTTCCTCTTTGCTGATGGGGGATGGGGTGGAATCCCCATGCCTCTTTCCCTATACATATGCATCCCAGGCTTTGTACAGATGGAACACATCTGAGTGAGTTTTAATTAGTGTGCTTCAATCAAAAGATACTTCATCAACTAAGGAAGAAAAGCCTACTCCCCAGCCAAGCATTAGCACCTACTTCCATTTCACCAGATCCCACTGGAGCTTTGGAGAAGAGCAGAAGACCCAAAAGAAAGGGATGAGGGAGAAGAATTTATGATCCTCCAGCCAGTTTAGAAAGTTACCCAAGTAACTGCTGGTAATGAACTCACACGTGTCCACGGCTAGCCTTTCACCCTCACACCTCCCTGGTCTGTGCTTGGCACCATCTTCACAGTTTTTCTACATTCCTTCTTCTATTTGTTAAAAGTATCCATTTGTCAGGATCTTTACAAGCTCGACAAGAGAAATAAAGCTGAATGCCTCCATCAGCAGAAGGGCTTATAAAATAGGCCCAGGCCGAGCTCAAGGGTGCAGGTGGCTCCTTCCTGCAACAGGCAGTGATGCAGGGGGGAGGGAGGGGGACGAGGAAATTTTAAATCATTTGAATTCAGTGACAACTGCATTATGCAAATGCATCCAGTCGTTTTTAACAGCTACAGCTGTAATAGCTACGCCTTTTAGAGGTGCGGTGGGACTTTAATACAAAGATTCCCTGTTTCTTCCTTTCCTGCTGAGGTGCTACAAAAATCATTGTCTGTGGCAGGAAAAATACACCCGGAGTTGAATAGAGCTTGGGTTTTAAAAATTACACATGTAGAAGTATTTAAACGGAATGTTATCTTTTAATTAAAGTAGTGAGGCGCTCCAAGCAACTCTGATTCTGGAGATGAGAAAAGATGTCCTACTGTAGATAAAACAATACTACTTAACACCTATGAGTTGTTTTGTTTTGTTATTTTGGGTTTTTTTGTTTTTGTTTTTGGTAGATCTGCTATTATGCTAATCACTTTAAATGTTGTCTTTATCCCCAACCAACCTGGGAAAGCAAATTATTTTTTATCTCCAATTTCCAGATGAAGAAACTGGACTACCGAGCAGCATCTGCCCTAGTAGGTGCACAGCTGTCTCCTGTCCCCAGGCCAGTAGATCCAGAAGTGGGAGTCTTGCACTTGCAACACTGGCTTCCCTTGGGGCAAGAACGCTTGGGAAATGCAGACTCAGGGGTCCTCCCTCTCCTACCAGTGAAACTTACAGGGATGAGTTGAAACAGAAGCAAACATGTGTTCAGGGACTCTCCTTTAACTTTGAGATATAAAATATGCACAATAAAGGCCTTTTGCAAATTTTGGTCATTCTAAAACTCTTCAATATTGAGTTTCTCTCACTTTCACCATTTAAACCTTCCCAGGCCTGCCTTGTATTTCATGCCCAGAAGCAGCTCCTTCCCCTCTACTCTGCACCTGTGGATCTGCCTTATATCACAGAAGAGAAGTCTTGACCTTTCTTGAGCCCTGAGTCTCCAAGATCCTAGGTTTATCTAGAAATCTAGCTGGTCTGGCAACACCTGAAACAGCACTGCCTTAACCAGTCACCACTTCAGCTGCCATGTCCACGCACTGGGTAAGGCTGCCTTCGCCTGGCTTACAGATGTACTTGGGGTTTCTTTGCAAAAGGCATCTGTGTTGAACTTTAACTGAAGCGTAGTGCAGAGACTCAGTGAATGGTAATGGACTGGAAGGTTCAGCCAGGTGTTACTGTGCATAGGCACCGAATGGCACTGGCCATAAATCAGGCAGAGCAGACAAGCAAATCCCCCAATATAATAAAGATTCTCAAGATTCACTCCCTGCATCTGGAACTGAAGCTTCTGCCCAAGGTGTGTTGAGGTTTGCTATGTTTTATATGAAAAGTACTTACAATTTATTTTGCTCACCATCTGCTTGTGCCTACCTTGTGACAGTCAGTTTGGCCTGGCAGAGATTTGAAAGATGGCATTGCATACCAAAAGCCTGCACTATTAATTTCCCTAAAATCTCATGCAAGCTGCCTTGGAGATAGGGTAACCATAGACCCATTTAGTGCTGACTACAAGATTAATGACTTGTCCTACATTGAGTTCCTCCTATTAGCAATGAGTGGGTCTGCTCCATCTGTCATTTCTCTGCAAAGAAGATGTGTGTTTAATTTCCCAGCAACTTCTAGTTTGGCTTGTAAAGGGAGTGACCCCACATACATTTGGTGACGACGCCTTCCAGGTGAATTATGTTTGGGTGATCAAACTGTCCCATGATGCTGGCCTCACTGAGGAAGTCTCTCCTCTGTTTGTCTGTATAACCAGCTTTAAGGGTCTTGATGGCCACGCATATTTCTCTCTTGCCAGGCACTTTGAGACGCCCGCTGCAGACTTCACCAAATTCACCTTCAGGAGACAAAAGGAATCTATAAGGAACCAGAAACTCAATATTGAAGAGTTTTAGAACAACCAAAATTTGCAAAAGGCCTTTATTGTGCATATTTTATATCTCAAGCAAGGAACTCTCATTATACAATATTTATATATGTCCATGTATATGAGACACACATGCACATATACACATTTGTATAGTATATATGAATACATTTAAATCCACCAAGATGGCTGATTTATGAATAGATACTCAGACACTTACCAACTCCTATGACTTTTTCGATCTTAATGCAAGAAGCATCGATTTCCTTGGCAAATTCTCGAACTGCCTGATTAGGATCTTCATATGTAAAAGGATCCACATAAGTTCTGACACCTAAGTGATGAAGATGGGATACGTTGGGCAACCACCTCTCAGGAACCACTATATAATAGAAGCAGTGTGGTCCGGGCCTAAAAATACTCCACCCACCCCCAACCAGGGATTGAACTCAGGCTCTTGTGCTTGCCAGGCAAGCACTTATTCTACTGAGCCATCTCCCCAGCCCCCTAAAAATTCTTAACAGGAAAAGTTGGGCTAGCTGTATGGTCTTAGACAACGCAAATGTTGAAATTTCAGCTTGGGGTTTTATCAATGGGTATGCAAAGACTTGTCCACTGCTCCAGAGGCTGTGTAGCTCTACTGACTTCTGGGACTGCTTTCCCATGTCGAGGACAAGAGTTTAAAAATGACCCATTCCATGGAGAAGGAAAGAGAGTCTATAAGGCAAGACTGAGTATACCCAATGAACTCTGTTGTAAGTCTTGCCACTGAGCTACAACAATGAGTCAACTACACTAACACCCTTTTAAGAGGACACAAAATTCTAAAGGAATTTTTCTACTCTACCCTTGTCTTGAATTTCACTTTAAACCATTCGAACCACTTGTTTGGTTTGTATCTCTGAAGTGTATTATGTGGACAATTAGGTAAACAATAATGCTAAGTTAATATTATTTAGATACTTCTAAACTAGAGAACAAGACATGCTCAATGAAGAAAACTATTTAACACACTATTTAATACCTTGATTCAAATGTTTCTCTTCATCTGCTTCTTGTTTTGCTTTACTATATTTACTCCGTCTATTAAAAAAATTGAAAGGAAAATTACTTTTCTCCAACCCAAATCTATAGCAAAGCCACAGACGAGTTCTTTGTTGCCATACTTGTATCAAGCAGATACAGTGTGGATTTCACCGATGAGAATAAAGCTCATAGAGGTGAAATAATAGGATAAGTACCTTTCACACCTGGATAGTGAGTCATGGCCTCATGCACAACCAGAGCTCAGAATCCCTCCTCTTAACCACAATTTTAAACACAAAACAAGTGTTTTATAATATAATTTCAAATTCCTAGCAGAAACATCTTATTAAAGTTAAAATTATTGCCTACTCATCCAAATTATGTATATACACATGTATATTATATATGTATGTATTCTAAATTAAAATAAGTTGTCATGGGTAGTTCTGCATAAATCAAATGGCAGTGATGTTCAATACATGATAACATGAGTCTTGTTATTATAACTATGATAACCACTACCACAAAAACTCGCTATCATATTAGACTATTAAAGTGATGCTTTTATTGATTTCAGCTGATACATATATATTTTTAAATTATCGCTGAAAATTTGGATAGTACATATTTGTACTATGCTGCATTGCATTCCTCAAAATTTTAGAGAAAACTAGACTGGAAGTGGGAAGATTTTGTTTGCTTTGTCCGTGTCTCTTCTGTGAAACTGGTCTAGGGACTCAGCATTTGCATTCTGCTCCTAGGTCCTATGAGAATGAATTCTGGCTTTGTTGTAAAGCTTTGGGAATTAGAAAACAATATCCATAAATCTTGGACAAGGAATACACCAGTACATATTAATTCTATGAACTGGAAAATCAACTCAAGACTTGGGAATGTAATTTTATTTTTTTCAGCTCTGAGAATTAATCCTAGAGCCTTCCACATGCCAGGTAGACACTCTATCATTGAGCTACACTCCCAGCACTTAAATAAATATAAATCTGGAATGAGAAGAATATTACAAAGGACATGAAAAATAAACTTAGATGATATAGCTCTCTAAAGCTTGAGAGGCCAAAATCAAATTAGTAAATAAAATGTGTTCACTTATAGCTGTCAAAATGCAGAATTTACTTCAGACTTTATAATGACCTTGTATTTCCTTTTAGTTCCAAAGACACGGCAAGTCAGGCCTCTTGGGATAAGGGAACGGAGGCTCTGACCCCTCAGCCACTGTGTCTCAGCTGTGTGGTCCCTTCACACAACTTTATGCCCTTGTTCCTGAACTTTGAAGAGCCAGGAAAACAGGTGACCATGCAGAAGAAAACCCTGAGCAGAGAGCTGAGGAAGCTGGGCAGGCCCCAGCAAGGCAGCCCAGCTCTGGGCATCTGCGAAGCTCCCCGCCCACATTCCTCTCCCGAGTGTCAGCAACTCAGGAACCAACTCAGCAGGCAGCTCCTCCAAGCCTACAGCTGTTCCTCTGTGTGGAGAATTCTCTGGCAAATAATAATACCTTGCACTTTCACACTGCATTTAACTTTTCAAAGTGCTCTCACCACACGTATTATCTCCTCCCCTAACTATTTGCAAAGCGGGCATCAACTTAGCAAAACAGAGACCCCAGCTACTGCACTTAAAGCACGTGTTTCAGTCCCAAATAATAGCCTGTGCTTCCCTTTGCATTTAAATTTGCAAAGGGCCTTCTGAGGATCTTTTATTTAATTGCATCTTTACAGAAATCTTGTGAAAGAACTCAGGTATAAAGGCTCATACTCAGCTCCATTGTACAGATGAGAACACAGGGCGGGGGTGGGAGAGCGAGTAAGCCAGGTCCCCTCTCAGCAAGTGCAAAATTGATGGGTCTCCTGCTGGCCTAGGACTGCGCAGTACCTGTCCTATTGGAGATGTAGGTACAGGGTGACTGAGAAGGCTTAATTGTAAGTAACAGCACATTTGATACCAGTACACCTACTTGCAACTGCTCTTAAAATCAATTGTTCTGCCAAAGAAACTAAACAAGTTTTAAAACCCTAAAATAACTCCATAGGAGAAAGTTACTGCCAACCCACTTCTTCCATTCTAATCTTTTACAGGAATTATAAGCATGTTAGGTCACAGACTATTAAAAACAACATTTTATATCAAGAAAACATCACGAGGGGCTCCCCAGGGGGTGATAGGATCCTGCCAGCCACCGGGATTATGTCTTATCAGAGCTCCTACAGGCTTGATCTGAAATTACATGTATACCTTTCAAATTGCTTTTGATCTTGAATACAGATTTGAATTTCTTTTCTTTAAACAAACAAATGAATGAATCAATAAATAGATGCTTTGGGAGAATCACCGGCCCCTTAACCTCTTTGTGCAGCACTGGGGACCAAGCCCAGGTCCTTGGGTTTGCTACTTAAAGAGCTCTATGACTTAGCTTCACAACCCAGTTCATGGTTGCCACCTTAAATTGTCAGTGAATGAGTAAAAGACTTGGTAGTGACATACGGCCCAGTGGCCTCAAGCTGCCCAGAAGGTGGCTTTCTATTCTACACCAAACATGTTCGTTTAATATGGTCAAAGCAAGAGAAAACACAAAATTGCAAGGATCATTAATTGTAAAACTCACCCACTCATCCCTTCCTCATCCTTCCAAACACAGAAAGAGGAATTAAATGAGCAACAAAGGTGTACTTTTAAAGACAGTTTCTTAGTTGGAATTATTTGGAGGAAAGTGTCTTATAAGAGTACAGGGAATGTTGAAAAAGAAACACAGTATTACTGCTCAAAGGCAAATTGTAGCCTATTAGTTCTTTAATACCTTCAAAACAGAAATGCCTGCATTCCACTCTACCTTTGTCACCTGATGACCTTTTCTCTTGGGCTCAGAGTAGGACAATGTATCTCATTATTGCCCCCCCAAAAGAAGGCCCATTGAAGTTGACTCTTGGGACAGCCAGTCTAGAGGAACCACAGAGATTACAGAGGAGCTAGCTCTAAATTGGCATGCTGCAGATCACCTGCCTGACAGAACAAATGCTTTGTTGAAGGCTTTCTAATTATGGAGAGGTGGACAAGGATTAAAAGGGAGAAGGAGTGGCGTGGCTCATTAGTGAACAGTCAGAAGGAAACATGGAACCTTTTAACAGCAGGAGGAAAAGGGCCAGCTCTGCAGGTGAAGCTGGAAAAAGTAAGGGGTGCCCACCCTGCACTCAAAAGGACCCAGGAGTAATCGTATTAGCCGCCACTGCTGTGGAGCAGCAGGAGCTCTACAGCCAATGTGTTGTTCCCGGCATCTTGACTATTCAATAAAACAAACAAAACAGAGAAGGGGAGTGCGACAGGGCCTGTGACCAAGCCCTGCTTTTATCAAAATACTAACTTCTCTGATTAAGTGGACAGATTTGATTGATGTGGTTCACTGCTCCAAAACTAATTAGCAAAAGGTAAGTAATTTATTCAGCTAAAGTGCAGATTAAAGAAGACAAAACAACATAATAATGAGCGCAGCTCAGGACCCCTTTCCAGTTCTCTGCAGTGTTGCTTACAAAGAGACACAGAGGACAGCCTGCTTTCTCCTCTGCCTCGACCTGCAACTGTTCCAGTGCCAGAGGATGCCAAAGAGTTCTTTGACAGCAACATTTTGAAACCTTTGCAACTGGACTCCCCAATTGCACCCATGTTGTTTAAAAATGTTCCTGAGGAGGCTGAGGAGATAGCTTCTTGGTCTAAGGGCCTGCCTCACAAGTGCAAGGACCCAGGTCCCATCCCTGATACTGTATGCTGAGCCGGCCACTAAAACCGGGTGTTGTGGTGTATGCCTATAATTCTAGTGCTAGGAAGGCTGAGACAGGAGGATAACTGCGAGTCTGAGCTGCGAGGGCTGGGAAGATAGCTCAGCAGCATAAATGTCTGCCTGCCAAGTACAAGGTCTTGAATTCAATCCCTGGCACCACACACACACACACACACACACACACACACACACACACACACACAGAGTTTCTGAGATAACCATCTGCTCCCTAATTGTGTGAATTTACATTACTTCATCAAGGCCAAAATTTATGCTGCTATTTAAGGTATTTATTCTTATGTGATCATAATATGGCAGGAAAGAAAATTAGGGTACCTGTTAAGATAGATACAGGCTGAACAGAAGCTGTTTCAGTATTATGTGAGCTATCTACTCCAGAGTAGACAAAACTAACTTGCAAACTAGCTTGATATTGTGTTGGACTTGCACATTAATTCATAGTTTACAACTCTCCATTTATATAAGTCTGTCAAGTCTGTTTCACTTTCTTCTCATACACAATTTATTTCTTTTTCCTGAATTTAGGTGAAGGGGGTATTTTATAATTCTACCACAAATGGAAAAATCACCAGGTGAGCTTAGTTATCAGTTAATAGTTCCACAACAAACCTAGCTGTTCTTAAAAACAAACAAGTCAAAGTCGAGGAGACTATTCATGTGTTCCAGTCCTTTCTCAAAACTGTTTATCAGAAGGTGGCTTCTGAACAATATGTCTGAACAATAAAATGTTGTGGGGAGAGCAGTCTAGCCCGAAACAATCCAAATTTATAATAAATCTGAATACTTCCAGGCACATAGAAATCATGAAGGTAAAATAGGAAGACCTGTCTGTCATCAGAGAAATAAACCCAGATGCAGCTGCAAATCCTGAAGACTGTGACTTCATATTTGCATTTCATGATGTCGCTGGTAACTGTTCTTTTAGCAGATTTTTTTTTTTTTTTTTTTTTAAATGTAGTTAGCTCAGGATCTACAGAGTCTCACTACACAGACTGGACTTGTGAGCCTCCTGCTTTCAACTTCCCAACTGCTGGGATGATAGGCGTGTGCCACCATGCCTAGTCTTAGCAGAATTTTTTTTTTTTTTTTTTGTATTTTAAGGAAGGGTCTACAGGGTGCTCAGGGTCTCACTACTCGATCAGACTCATAGTGATTCTCCTGTTTACAGCCTCCCAGGTGCTGGATTATAGGCACACACCACCACACCCAGTCTCATTAGCAGAATTTTTAAAAGCAGTGAAGGGGCTGCACTGTGGAGATCACAAATATACACATAAGTAAAGAGAAACACGGTCCCTTTCTGTTAAGAGAATGTGCACGTGTGGCTTGGAATACAATTTCTAGTAACAGCACCACAGAGTCACACCACAGAGCCACCTATGAGGCCAGGACCACCATGAGCTCTGGGGGGCTGGGACCATCAAGAGACTACATGAAAAAGGAAGAAAGGCACAGATCAAAGGCACAGAGCTACCCAAAGTATTGAACAATCCATTTGACAGACTGCAGGTGGTAAAAAACACAGTGCCTTTAAATTGATGAACTTTTGTATAATCCCCTTTTAAACACATAAACTCAAATCTTTCACCTCAGATCTCTAAATATTTACACGTTTAAATTGCACCCCCAAAACGAAAAGCGACTCTTAAAAAAACAAAAACAGCAACAACAACAACAACAAAAAAAAACCAAGATTATTCTGGCTTGCCTTGAGCTCAGGCTTTTCGGGATAAATGAAATACAATAAAATAAATAAAACAGCTGCTCTTTATAAAAGTCAACAAGATGCTGACTGTCAGCCTGAGGCAGTTTCTCCTTAGGTAACAATTAGCAACAAACAGATTTTTCTCTTCATGGTCATCGAAAGAACCAACAGTTTGCACACTAGACGCATCCTCCGTACTTTTTGTATGTCACAGGTTAACAGCAGTGTGGGACTCTGCTTAAGGGTACAAATATAAGGGTCTGGCTTCTTGTTCTCCTTCTGGCATCAGCCTCAAAGAAGCAAGGAGCAGTCCAGCTCTTGCAGGACGTGTCAGAACTTCCAGCCGCGAGGGTTCAATCTGCCGGCTGACGCCTGGCAAGATCATTTCAGGGCCACCACTTACTACTTTTCATCTGTGCTTTCTCTAAAAGCCTGGCCGACTTCGGTCCCTAGCACCTGTCTCCTCTCTGTTCACCTGTTCGTGCCCCACTTAAACATTTGTAGTCTGAGATAACAGAGCAGACAACCTACACGGAGAGAAGAATCGGCCGAGTGCGCATCAGCTGCCGCGAGCCTGTCAGCTACCTGGCTCCAGCCAGCCCTGCCCATGACAGCTTTATGGCTGGCACTAAAGAAGAATCAATATGGGGGCAAGGGGTTGACATTTCATTTTCTAAAAAGTGATCCATTGAGGACCAATCACCAAGCTGTGTTTATCAGCCTTGGGAAGTGACATTTTTTTTTTTTTTTTTTTTTTTTTTAAATGGGGGAGAAGGGACAGGAATCATCACTGGGCAACTCGACAGGCTCAATTCTCTGTGGAGAGAACTCATAATTGGAAACCCGATTCATCCTACTATCAATCCTGCCTTATATAATAATGTGATCAATAAAAGCAGAAAGAGAATTAAGTCATCGGGCTTGAAAATGCTATTCTCTATAGCCTTGGCTTTTAATAATCTTGTCTCTCTGCATTACATTTTCATGGTTTTTTTTTTTTTTTCATCCAAGTCAATGTTTTAAGCAGAACACCCAGAAGAAGCTTACAATGAGGTGACTTATTTCCAATTATTACAGCTTGACTGCTGTACTGTGGGCTATTTAAAATGAAAAATAGAAAAAAAAAAAAACAAATAAATATAAGGCAAGCTGGACTATAACTACAGGATGCTCCCAACATCAAAGAAATGGTCAGGACACAGGACAAACTCTGCTCTGCTGCTGAGCACAGCAGCGCGCTGGATTTCAGCTCATTTTGTGTGAGGGGGAATTAATAATTTCTTTCCTATGTTTTGTTCTTTTAATGTCTTTATTTTCTAGGAAAGACTGTTGGAATACAGGATAAAAACTTCAACCACAGAAAGATATTCTAATGAAAGTAGAAGGCCCTGTGATTTCTACACCCGCCCCATCTTGTTCCCTGCTGCCCACAATCAGATGGCTACAAACCCACACAGACAAATCCCCACGTGTTGTATGCACGGCACGTGGACATATGTGAAATCACATGGCAGTGCATAAGAAAAAAAGCTCATCTTGACTGACTTCCAAATTCTAACTTCTTGGAGATGGAACTCGCTGCTCTAATCAAATACACCTACTTAGAGACTTTGCACCAAAAGGAATGAACTCAATGACAAATATAGATGTTACACAGAATAAGGTATTGTTCCATGCTGTGTTATTATTAGAGTGAACAGATCAATCTCTACATACCAGAACATTTTGGAGAGTGAGGACAGGAGGAGGATACAGAAAGAGGATGTTAGGGGCCGGGGAAATGGCTCAGTGGAATAAGCGCTTTCCTGGCAAGCACAAGGGCCTGAGTTCAATCCCCAGTTCCGCAAAAAAAAAAAAAAAAAAAAAGAAAGAGGATGTGACAACTTGAGCTTCCCAGTCAAACTGGGGTATACAGTCCTCACCCTAATTATAATGACATCAGAGTGAGGTAAAAAGCACAGTGGCTTGGCCAGGCAGTGGGCATAGCCAGAGGCATTGCTGGGACATCGGTGAGCTCATTAGCGGGAAGACCGGACAACAGAACAGACCTGGCCTGAGAGACAAGCACAAGAACCAGCCACTATTAATTTTACCTGCCACTATGGCAATGTGCTGGACCTAGACAAGTGCTGCATCACTATTTGTATTATTTTCTTCATCTATACCAAGAAAATATATTTACGAAGATCCATCTCACAGCACAAGAGCCACTTTGAGAAACCCGCAGGTAAGTCTATAGAGGTAAAGGTCACAACATACAAACAGGACAAAGAGAGGACTGGATTTGGGGCATAGATGATACCAGCAATTGGATGGCAGAAAAAAAGTAGATGGAAGTGATCAAGCTATTTCTCCTTTGAAGATTGTTGAAGTGTCAAGACAGACTGTAAGTACTTATAAAATAAAATAATCCAGATTCGTTTCCAAGGGCACTGTCATGCCCACCATGACATCAGCATGTTGTTTCTGGCAATGCTGACAGCCTTTCCACTGTGAAGATAGAGAGCTTAGTACTCGTTTCTTTGTTTTAGTTGCCAATCAATAATAGGTTGAAGTGCCCAGTGCATGCTGTAGTATCTCTGGTGCTTATCAAAATTTCTCTGTCAATACTTGTTGAAGGAGATAATGATCACCAGTATGCCACAGAGAAATGAAAACTCAAAGGACTTAAGTGGCAGAGCTAGCAAATGGAAAATCCTAATGTCTGAGCCCTTGTTTTACATAGTATGCGTTACCATGGGCAGTCAATCCAGACTTAATAGGGGGATACCTATAACACCTTGCAACGGAAAGGACTTAAAAAATCACTTGTTGGCAGGCCTTTGGCACAGCTGCATGGAATTAGCTGGATCTTTCTGGGACTCTGGAAAGCCATGGCTGCCACCTACTTGCAACCGTCAGCTCCAGTAGCAACTGGGAAGATCAAAGCATCAATAAGGGAGCTTGGCTGCAAATACCATGTTTATGATGCTAATCAAAAGCCTCAACTTCTGAATACAGAAGGCATAAAGCTCCCTCATAAAACCAGGAAGGGCGGAACAATGGGTGGCTTCAGCACTTACCTCCTGCTGATGACAAAAGCTGCAATGAGAATGACCACTAGCACCACACTGCCTGAGACGGACACCAGGAGGACAGTGGAGTTAGCCCCATCTCCAATGATCCTGGAAGGCACTGGAAGGACAAGTACACTGTGGTTACTGAGGGTGGAGAGCCTAAAGGTAGAACTTCTGATTGGGTTACGTCATTGTTATTCAACTTCCCAAAGCTCTCTTGAAGGCTCATTGCATATGCTCCCCACTACCCTTTTCTATTGGTTCAATAGCATTTTCTAACACAGTTTTAATGAGACAAAGACTTTGCCACATTTACATGATGAACCTTTAAACTAGAAGACTTATTACACCCTATGATAGACATAATTTGTTGCCTTTTCTCCTTTTCCATTTTATAACCAGCTGTGATGGTAAAACTTAATTGTCAACTTAACTGGATCCTAAGACACATGGAAAGGTGGCTGGAGCCTGGGGAGACTTATACGCATCTGCAGATTGACTGAATGTGCCACCAGGAGGTGGGGCCCAGTTGGAAGGGGGCCGTCCATCTCTTGTTGGCACTCTGCTTCCCAGCCTCAAGGAGAAAAGCAGCTAGCTCTGCTCTACCCTGCCCTTCTGCCATGACACCACCGCCCTAGCACCAGACCACCATGGACTGAACCTCTGAAATACAGCTATGTTAAACTACTCCTCTTTAAGCTGCAGCTATGAGTTACTCTGCCCAGCAGTAGGAAAACCCACTAATGTGCCACACTGACTTTCACAGGGCAATCAAACGTATTCCTCAGTGAAAAGGACATCAGGAAATTGCACAAAGGACAAATGGTTTTCAGTGCCCTTCCTTTCCTCATAGTCTTTAAAATCCACCCTCTAATTAATTGCTCAACACCTCTTCTTCCTTGTAGCCTTCCTGAATCATCTCAGACATGTCCCGTCCCTTCCAATCCAACTCTACTTCCTCTTCTGCTTTTTGTGCTTAGTTGTTAACTGAAAAACATGGTCATCAAATCACATTCTGCAAGTTGAAAATCCTGCCCCTCTATCTGCTTGTCAAGTAGATGCAATTTAATTGAGTTTTTTTTTAATTATAGAGGTGGACATATCTTATGCTGCTACTGATAGTTAATTAGGCTCCTTTGCAAACTTTTGATTTGATGAAGCAGTGGTTCCAACTTACAGTATAGGAAGGTTTCATATGTTTGTTTCAAAGAGCTTTAAAAACCTGATTTGATTTGGCTTAAACAAATTCTGAGAAATAAGTAGAAGACCGAAGTATTTTTTTGTCTCCTCTTTAATCTCTTGAGGAAAAAAAAAATGCCTTATCTTAATGTAGGGTATCTATACAACCCTCAATTAGTCAGTTTAGTAATCCCATTTTTCATGGTTTGTAGAATGAAGAGAAAAATTGGCAATATTTTTCATTAAATGAAAAGTGGAACAGATACTATGAAAAATGTCTGTCTCCAAATAATATGAAGTTCTTTTAACTTAAACATTGCATATTTTATTTCAGGCAACATTCATTGCAACAAAATGCTTATGTAGCCAAAAATTATGTCAAACTCCTTAGATATCACTGTCATATTTATCCTGTGTTATAAAGCGAACCCCAGACTAGGGGCAAACAGGTTGGTCCCTATTACCTGTGTTGGTTGTGACCTCCAAGGGCTCACTGAAGTCGCCATAGCCAGCTGCTGTCCGGGCTCGTACATGGAAAACATAGGAAGTCAGAGGGTTCAGACCCTTGATGTCTGTGTTCCTGGCAGCTGTCCGGACTATGCGGTAGCTTCGTTCATTCTGATCCTACATTGTGGGAAGATAAAATAGGTTAAGGCAACAAAATGATTCCTCTGTTGACACTAAGTATAATACTGAAGAACCAGGACAGAATGCTGAGTACTTGGGAATAAATAGCGTTGATTAACTCTCTAAACCTTATAACCATGTCAGTGCTATAAGTACCATTGTTGCATCTTAGACATGTGCAGTTCAGGGCTGGTTGTCCTTGAAACAACTATAACCAGATCTTTACTAATTTTTGAAAAGAGCATTAAATCATGGCTGATGTTTTTTTTTTTTTTTTCTAGCTGCACATTCAGCAATTTAAAAGAAATAACTGTGAGACAGTCCCTTGTCTTTTTCTATTTTCTGCCCAGAAAAATGCAAAAAATATTGTAGTCTGATTTCAATTAAAAAAAAATCCAGTCCCCTTTCTGCCTTCATAAGGAAAGCCAGCTAGTGATTATCTTTAAAAAGAAAAACAATTGTTCATTTTGTAGACAACCTTGACTACAAATAGCTCTCTTCAGAATTCTATCCTTTAAGAGACAAGTTATATGTAAAAATAATGCCTTCTATAACTTTAAGAGGGTGAAGAATATAATTTCCCTTCCCAGATTTTTTATTAAGAATCATCAAAACCCACACCTTCATTCTGCATAGCAATGATCTACTTAAACAGACCATTATTACAACTGTTATGAGTCACTCTCTCCAATAGAAGATTTATAAATTATGGTTTCTTAGCTGTCTTGATTTCCAAGGGGGGGTGGGGGGGAGGGAGAGAGAGAGAGAGAGAGAGAGAGAGAGAGAGAGAGAGAGAGAGAGAGAGAGAGAGAGAGAGAGAGAGAGAGGAGAGATACACATTACATATTTTTTTTCTATTTTTTAAGAAAAGCAACTAAAATAAATTTCATAATCAGATTGCATTGGGAAACAAGATGCTTTTGTTTGTGGATTCTCTGGTATTCCACACTTTAGAATTGGCCAACCCCTGAACAAAAGAAGGTTTGAAGGAGCTGGGCCTAGTGGCTGAGGCCTATATTTATAACACTCTGGTAGGCCAACACAGAAGGATTTAAAGTTCAACCCCAGCTTGGGTAACTGAGTGAGACCTTGTATCCAAAGTTTTTAAACTAAATTTTAAAAGAGCTGGGGACGTAGTTTAGTGTAAATGCCACCTGAGGTACCCTGCTCCCCAGCAAAAAGGGAGGGAGGAAAGGAAGGAAGGAAGGAAGGAAGGAAGGAAGGAAGGAAGGAAGGAAGGAAGGAAGGAAGGAAGGCAGGCAGGCAGGCAGGCAGGCAGGCAGGCAGGCAGGCAGGCTGCTCCTTCATGTAATACCTTCTCATAATACTTGACTTCATACTCCAGGATTACCCCATTGGGTCGATCTGGTTCCAACCAAGCCAGAGCCACACTGTATCTTGTGACTTCTTTAGCCTGGACCAAAGCAATTGATGATGGTGCTGTTGAGAAAAAGGAAAAAAAGAAAAGACTCTTAAGTTTAGGGGAGAAATGCTTTTGGTGGTATCAGTCAGTAACTTGGGTCTTACAAATATCATGTAGACTTATTTTCCTTTTAACCATTTCACTTTTCTCCAGTATAAAAGATACCCTTATCATTCTGTAAAAGATTTATATGGTTTGTCTAATAGGACCATCGCAGAAGTAAAGGCTTAGAACATTCATGGGTCTCCCTTACTCAAAATTGTAGTATAAAAGATACTGCTTGAGCTTTGACTTTCTGCAAGCCACGAAAGCCTTTGGAAGACTTCCCCTGAAGCTCAGCAAGATTCTTCGTGTCTACCTCTAAGAATTGTAAGTGTCATCTTCTTGATATTTAATGTTACACTAGGAAAAGATTTCGCAACTCTTCCCAAGTAATGTAGGGAATGCCAGAAGGCAAATGACTTACATACTTCCCATTATAAATAAAAGTACTGCTTAATTACTGTAAGAGTTTAAGTTTAAACACAACCATTCAAATAATGAAGAGCACAAATAAAGCAATGATGGTCTCCCTGTACATAGATGGCATTTTGCTACTATTTTATGAGTTGAAATATGGTTTTTGTCTGCTGAGGAGCAAACTTTCCTTTTTCAGCTGAGAAAGACACAAAAGCAGTCCTCTGCCATGTGAGTTATATGGAGCGGGAAGGAAGGCCATACTGGAGATTTGTAAAAACAGGCTGCTTTTCTCTTTAGTGATCAGTTATGGCTTATATCTACGTGGCTCCCCAAAGCCTCATGTACTTGTGGGTGGAGCTTCAGGAAGCAATGGATCATGGGTATACAATGCTCATCAGTGGATTAGCCATGGATGGGTCTACAGCCAGTTGTGATGTTGGGAAGTGAAGCCTAGTTGGATGAGGTGGGTCCCCGTGAGTGTGGCCTGGAAGGGTCTTGTCCTTCCCTCCTCCCTTGGTGTCTCTTTCTTCCTTGCGTGCGGTGCCCTGAACTGTGTCTCTTCTCTAGTGCTCTTCCATCATGCTGTCTACCTTGGAGCAGCCCACTGTGGATTGAAACTTCCACAGACTGTGAGCAAAAGTAAATCCTTCTTCCTTTAAATTGTGAATGTCAGGATTGTGTCCCAGCAAAAGAGGGTCACCTCTCCAGCCATCTGTTAACAAGCTCTGTGTCACTGCCAGAGGCTGCGCCGACCGAGTGCAACCTCCGAGAAAAGGGAGCAGCACTCTTGAGCTCGTTTATTTTACCTAACAGAAATGACCAAGAACCTCAGAGATTAGGTGGCGAGTAAAAATACAGAACAAACAAACAAAAAGAGTTTCTAAAGAATAACAAACTAATGTTAGGTCATCCTCCTGCCTTTGCCCAGTGGATACACAACTGCTTACCTCTAACTAAGAGGGAAGAGCAAGAAAAAGTAACTTGCCATTAACAATGGAATAGGAAAATCTCCCAACCTCCTTAGCCACAGTTGGTGCACATACTTGTGGCAGGACATTCAGCTGGCCATACTGCAGACAGAGTTTAAAGTGAAGCCAGTCTAGCAAAGACTGTCTGCTGGAGGGTTATTTTGCAGCCTGGTGTCCCTGCTAGGGATGTTTTTCACACACCTCTCTCTTTCTCTCTCTCTCTCTCTCTCTCTCTCTCTCTCTCTCTCTCTCTCTCTCTCTCCCACCCCCTAATTTTCTATCCCTCTTTCTCAATCCCAAAGTCATTCCAGACAGGATCACAGGCATAAATGCAAGTGAAAGATACAGTGGATACACATGTTCTCCATCAAAGGCAACTCCAAGGTTAGTTAGTATTATGCTAGATGAAGAAAGCTGTTTGCAGCAGACATATGGAAGCCACTGAACATCTGAGGAAAATGAAAAACGGAAATGTGCTCATTAGATGCATTAAGGTCCCTTCCTCCAACACACACACACACACACACACACACACACACACACACCCCTTTCTTTCTCTTTCCTGGTTGACACAGAGCCATCATCGCACAAACTCCAAGGAGCAACTTGCTTAACTATAAAGGTAGCAAAGAGACTATGAAGGCTGCCTGACTGTGAAAAACCATTTCACTCCAGGTAATAAATATATTGCCTAACAGAGCACTTTGCATGCACTCTGTAAAGAGGGGCTCTTTAAGCTCCAATGTTCAGGACTGAGAAATGAAATGGAAAAGTAAAGCTGTTAGAAAGAAAGCAGGAGGGAGGAAAATCATAAAATTATAAAATGAACTTTCTCTCACAAATGGTCTGCCTTAGATTCTGACCGTTGGCATACTCCTCAGGAAAGAATTGCCTCCCTGTCCTTGAAGGGCCCTGATGAACTAAGACAGTTTTTTTCTCTGGTTGGGTTATCACTGAACTGCTGCATGTGGAAAATAAACCAATTTCATTCTAGAAATTTCAGCACCAATGTTCTTGTGGCCATTCAAAGGGAATATGAGCTCAGTGAAGGTACTCAAAAATCTCAAACAGAGTCAGCAATCTAATACAATTGTGTTAGCTAATGGAATATTTTTAATTCGGCCTTACTCGGAAAATTGATGTGGGCACAAAGGTGAAAATAAATGAATAGAGTGTACCTTGACTGAGGTGTCATGAAATGCAGGGGAAGGAAAGATTAATGAAAACTACAAGTGAGAAACATGAAGGGCTGAATGAAAGTAGGTTAGGATGGGGCAGGCGGAAAACTGCTGAGTTCACATTTGTCTTCAGCATCAACTATAGAGATGCAACTGGGAGAAAGCAGGATAATCGGCTCAAGTTTCCAAAGTATTACGTCATGTGGACAGCAAATCTAAATTCTTTAAGCAGATGTTCTACAGAAGAGCATGACACATAAGGACACTGTGACAAAAACAAGCCGGGGCCACATGAGGTTGAGAAACACATTTAACACATGCAACTGCATTGTGGGACAATAGCATACTCATACTCTCTTCTTTCAGGGAGAGCTCGATATGCTCTGGGAAGAATACAAGTTTGAAAATAGCTGAGTTTTGTCGTCACACTCGGAAAGCGGCAACCTGGATGTCCTACACGTCATAAGCCACGGAAGAGCTCTTCCTTGACCTCCAACAACTCTACTTCTGGAAGCCGTCACCCTGCCCAAAGGCCTGCTGTACTTCACTTCCTCAGATGAAGCTTTTGGGAATGGAATTTCCCCCTCTTTTCCCGCCCTAGTGGTTCCCATGGCAGGGTCTTCTCATGCCAACCATTTGTAGCCACATCTCTCTACAACGTATGTTATGATTAAAATAATATTTTTATGAAGTAGCCAGACTATTTTTAATGTATCTCTGGGAAGAAACATCCCACTTACTAGCATAAATTAAGTCCTATTATCACTTTCAATTAGTGATAGTTGAGCATAATGATGAATGCAATAAGTAAATGAAAAAAATATTACCCATGTTCTCTGGATGTTCTTGCCCTCCAAGCTTTGTTCCTAAGAGAGACAGAGACTGGGTGGATAGCTGGATGGTCTAAGTGCTTGCCTGGAAAGCCAAAGACCCAAATTCAATCCCCAGTACTGCATGCTGTGCCAGTCCTGGAACGAGGGCACATTGTGCGGGCCATGAAACTAGGTATAGTGGCACATGCCTGTAATCTCAGTGGTGGGGAAGCTGAGACAGGAGGATCACTGTGAGACTGAGCTGTGTAGCAATGAATAAATTATGAAACACTTAAGAAAAAACAATAAGAGAGATAAATCAGTATTAGAAATGTATTAACTATATCCAGGCACTGTCTTGAGATTTGGACACTTGAGTTTTCATAATTAGTGAGCAAGAATCGAAAAGGAACTAAATTTCACTCAACATTCTTCAATATCATGTAGATCCCCCACTGACTTCCCCTAAAATCATCTCAGATACCACCCCCGCTATGTTTCCCTACTTTGATAAACAATGCTCCATCATTTTGAAATACTTTTAATCCCAGATCCCAATATCCCAGGGCTCTACCTTTTGCTAACAGAATTCCATAAAAAGATAATTAAGTAAGTAACAAATCAAATACGTCCTTCTGTATATGATCAACTGACCATTCAATGTTTTAGTAATAGTGAGAATTTTGGTTAACATAAAAAGATCAAGAAACAAAGAAGTTTTCAGTGGCCTCTCAGTTTAATCTTGCAGAGATAAGACCTTTCTCTGTACTTATCTACAGGACGTATCTAGGGATAAGACAAAGCTGGGACATGGCTTATGGAGGGCTCAACAGAATACAGTCTTCCATTTAAAGTAAAACCTTATTCTTTAGCTTTTCCTTAACTGAAGAAAAGGTAAAGATGTGTTACATGGAAGATACTTTCTAATATTAACTCAGGGACTCATACTCCCAGAAATTAAGCAGACGGCACCTGATGGCCCTTTGCCTACTCTGGTTCTGTCACAGCAACATGGAGGAATGTGAGGGTTCTTGGTCATCGCGTCCCCTCTACACATGCACATCACGCTTGCTGAAGAGTCAGCAGGGAGGCCAGGAGGAAGCTGCAGGCTGCCGTCCACGTCCTCTCGGAGGGAGACACATCACAGGCCCAGCAGCATTCCTATCTGCCCACAGACTTCCTTCTCAAAGGAGACGGTTGTTCCAAGGAGAGGAGTGTCACCGCTGGACAGACCATGCATTATCTGCTGGTCGCAATTTAGACGTTGCACATAGCAGGGAGGGCTGGTCATGCCAGATCATTGTAGTTAGAGAGACATGATGAGTGTACAAGTCACACAGGCAAGAACAATGGAAGGGTGGTTGTTAAAGAGAGATTTACGATTTAATTCCGCCAAGTCTATCATTTTCACACTCTGGCAGAAGAATTTCCAGGGTCCAATGGGTGTCGGTTTTTCAGGTCTACAACGCTGTTTTCTGAGACCACCTGATCCTCTTACTCTCTGGAAGATTTCCATGGTTTGTAACATAAAATGCATCCTTCCTCTTCCTTTCAACTTACAAATCATACTCATAGTCATGCCATCATTCAACAGCTGTCA